TGTGTTACAGATCTGAACATCTGATAAATATGAACACCTTTTACAGATTGTTTAATCTCATGTTTCAGCAAGGTACTTTTTTGTGAAGATGCTTTTTAACAGCCTCTAGCAATACTTCAGTCTAGCACAAATATTTAACTTCAGTCTTTAAACAGAAGTGACGCAAACTGACAGATGGGGAAAAATTTAAACATTAAGACTTCGAGAAGCTATCGCCTCTGTCCTGTTCTTGCACACACTGAAACCCTTTTCAGCCATTCTTTTGGGAGCACCACAGTACGTCTCTCATTCAGAAGTATCTGGTTTCCTGGACAATGAACTTTCTTGTGTTTGTTTCTGACTTTGCCCTATTAATTTTGCAGTAAGGTTTGATTACTTCACATAGTTTAAATTATGCTACAAATGTCAATCCTGATTTGTTTATTCTAATTCATTCACTTTGATCGGGGAGTATAATTTATTTAAAGCATGCTAAACTAACATATAAGGAGATTAAATGCTAAGAAAGTGCTTTTTTATCCTGACTAACTTCAGTGAACAATTGGCAGGTGCAGAAGAAGTCTGTTGTGGAATAGCCGTGCTTGGTAACACAATCTGCGGGATGAAACAGTTCCTCTGGCAGTGAAACAAGTCTGTCTGCTGAAGTCCACTGCAGCTCTTAGACAATCCCAAATCATGCTCTGGGGATCTCTTGCAGATTACATCCAGTATTTACCCAGAGATCATTCCTTGCACCATGGCAGCACATGCTATGATCAGATCTCCGAGATGTCACCCTTACAGAACTCTCCAGTTATGAGGAGCTCCCAGACCGCCTTCTCCTCCTGCTCCCTGAACAGTCGCTCTGCCATGTAAAGAAATCCTAGACATTTTATCACTCACTCCAATGTAGCTGCTGCCTTATCTGAGGCTTGATAACCAGAAAGCTAACCTCATAACCAGAAATCTTGCTGATAAGCCCTTGCACAGCCAGTGCCCATCCTCCCCCTTGCAGCCAAGCTACCAGCACCTCTGGAAAAAAGCACTATATGCAGTGAGGGAACCCTCAAGGGGTTCAGGCTGGAAAGTGCTAGAGGGAAATAAAAGCCAGACAGAAGAGAAAAGTGAGCTGGTGGGTTCCTGAGGAGAGCCAGGACCCCACAGCACTTCACCTACCTGTGCTGTGCGCACCTCCTTCCCTGCGCTGGCAGTGCAATGAGCTGGGCGGCTCCAGCTAGACCCGGAGAGCAGGGGGCAGGGACTGGGCCAGCGCCGCCTCACAGCCTCAGGTATCTGCACGGCAGCACCCAACCTTCAGCCAGACTGGAGGCGGAAATCTCTGCTGGGGTGCTCAGAGGCAGGCAGAAGAGGAGGCTTCCCCTCCTGAGACAGAGGGCTCAACAAGCTGGGGGTGCGGAAGGGAGGGGAACACAGGGCGAGGCTGGTGCTTCCCAGCACCCTGTTCCTCCCATCTTCTACCCCAGGCATGGGTAGGTGGCCCTGGGCTCCTCAGAGTGGAATACAAGCTGACTGTACCTGGGATCACCCAGTGAAAGGGGGCTGCAGTTTCTGTGAGATGAAGTTGTTCCAAGTTTTTGTTGAAAGTTTCCGACCAAATCATGCCTTTGCACAGCATCTTTTTCCTGTGATGCAACACACCCAGTGCCACCTTGACAGAACAGATAGTTTCGTTAATCTCCAGGGTAAAATATGGCACATTGGTGAGACCACTGAAGCGCAAATCGTACCATCACCCACAGCAGGACATGGACAGCAGAGGGACAAGGCGGGTTCCCCAAGCCTGGGAGTAATGAATTTGGACATTGAACTTGGATGATATGTTGAAGTATTTCAGGCAATTTAACTTACTACTGGACACAAGAGTTTCTTTGCATGGGCTATACGACATTAATTGCACACAAATGCACTTTCAAGGCCTAGAAAGAAAAAGAAGCCCCTTCCTTGAGGCACGCTGCACCCTTTCCTTTGCAAGGAACTCTGATTTTATAAGTATAGGTGTAGGTACAATTCCTTAAGGCTACTCTGTACATTCAGCAGAACTAAGTGGGTTTCCAACCCTGCTGAATTTAAGCTTACTTTGTTCATAGTTTTTCCCCGTTATTGCTCATGTTTTAATAAACATTTTAATTGTCCATCTCAAGTGTAAGAATACTTGTTTAAATACAGGGAACAAAAATTCACAATTAAATCATCATTTAAAAAATACCAAGCATACAACAAAACCGATTATTACTTACATTGCACCTTCTCACCCAAAACCTCTCAAAGCTATTACGAACCAAAGTCCTAAGTGGCAGGACTAAAAGATATCAGATCTGAAACACAGTCCCTCATGTGATTTTCAACCTCTGGGATTAAAACACTGAAGTACCTTTGAAGAAGCCTGTCTTAACGTGTATTTGCCACATGAAGTTTAATTCATTACACATTCAGAAACATTTTCCCGCAACTGATGAGTATAAATGAAGATAACAAAAGACAAAATGAACAGATTCACTCCAGAGCATACATAACTCACTTTTCCAACAGACAAGTCTGATTGTGCCAAAATTCAACAGCACATTATAATACTGAGAATAATACTGAGCCTGAATTACTGTTGAAAAAACCCCACCAGCCAACTCCCTCACTCCATACTACTACTACTACATACTTACTACTCCACAAGAGTGACTGAGAACAAAAGGCTATTAAATTAGCAAGAGAAATCGCTAGCCATAAGGGAAAGGAAGTCCAAGGTAAACCTAAAAAGATGTGCTGAACAATCCTACTTGGCATAAGATCACCAATCATTATACCCCCCCCCCCCCCCCCCCAAACAACAAACCAAATGTAACACACAATGTTTTTAGGCTCCAAAAGCAAAAGGTCAATCAGTTCTTACTTTACTTACCAGCTGACACACAAGCTGAGGTTTCTCTGCTCTCACGATCTACATCCTGAGCAACACAAGATGTACACCTGCCAGTTCTGTACTAATGATGCTGCTTGCTCTTTCAGAGGAAGGTTATATCCCAGCTGCCACAAATCAGCTATTTCAAACAGACTTTTAAAGACACTTTCAAAATAAATGGTGTTTACTTATTGCCCCTGAAAATAATGTCCCAAGCTAGCAAAACCTTCACCATCAGGTCCCTATAATCTCATCCTCAGAGGCAGTTTGACCTGTAACATTTGCTAGAAACTGCCTGCAAGTTTTTTAAGCTGAAAACTTCTGGTACAAGTTGCTTAGAAAGTTTGTTGTTGAAACCATCAGTTTAAAGTGCAATTTTGGCAAGTTCTACCATCACCTCTTCAGCTGGAAAATAGCATATGCAAAAGCAATGAAGATTTATGAGGCTTTGAGAGCAACAAAAGATGCATAATTTTGTGGACTGTTATTCTTTTAAACAGTATTTAAATGCTGTTTAAAAAAAACCCACAAGGTTATGCTGCTACTGAAAGCTGGATTCTCAACAGAAAGAGCAACTGCTGCAGAGAAGTGCAGCCATGGTTACAAAAATGAACACAAAAGTTGATGCAAAAAGTAATCTCAAAAAAAGTTTATTAGCATGATTAAAAACACAGGAAGAATGACAGTAAGAAAGGAAGTAACTTAGCATGGAAGAATAGCCATTTCAACAGTTTGTATTCACCAAAGCTTCAACTGATTGGGTAATTTTATTGCCAGATTTCACTTGACTTCTTCAACAACAGTTTGCATTGTATCAGTTTCATCATTAGCAGAACTATTGCTTTAGTTTGGATCTGACCCCTGTTGCAGGTATGTATAAAAAAATATCCCTCATTACTGCTGGATTGCAGAATGCATTGTTGATTTAAGAGCTGGTAAAAAAAGACAAACTCAACTTAAGAGTCTGTTTAAAAAACAACTTTTCTCCTAATCGCACTACAAAGAAATACATTAGTATTTTGGCCTTTAAACTTCTCACATGGTATTTATTTAGCACGGCAATCCCAAATTCCCTCCCTTTAAGTAACCGTAAATCAAACTCCTCTTTCAGAGGCTGCTTCTGGGGTTAAGTTTCTGGAGATTTACTTCATACGTGCTTACACTGGCTTGAGGACGAAGACAGCATCATCTAGTACATAGTAGTCATTATACATATCACCTTCACATAGGTATGGCAGTCTGGTGAAAGCTTCTATGGCAAAACCAGCTTTACTGAAAACTTCTGGCAGGCTATTCACCTGTTCTTCCCAAGTGTGCCCTTTGATTTCCAAAACTTCTGACGGTTTTTCCCACTTGCCACCTACTGAGAAAATAAAACAGGTTTGTTTAAATGATAAAGAAAACTTTATTGTGTGATGTATTTTTTCTTACACAGAGCATATTCCACAGATTGTATTCAATTCCACTTCTAACAGGAGGTTGACAAGCCATTTGTGGAGCTGTTGCAAGATCAGTTCAAGATTTGCCTATTGTTCAGAAGCAGCTCCTTTTTAAGATTACCTTTGTACATTTTTAACTAGCAATTCCAAGACTGGCTTAAAAGAAGCTTCCACTAGTAAGACTGGTGTTCAGCAGACATGGTCAGGCTTTTTAATGAAGATGCTTTCCAGCATTATAAAATTCTTTATATCCACCGCCTGGCCAAAGCTGTCTTCACGCAGTTACAGTAAACAGAGCCAACAAGTTGAAAATGATGACTTGCCGTGAAGCTTCCATCTGTAGACCACCACATTATAATGGCTGGCTACAGAACCTTTGTTCCTCCAGTGGCCATCTACTAGCCGAGATGGTAAAGACTGCTTAGGGTCACATGAAATTACAAAGCCAAACATTTGCAGCATGCTGGAAAACGTGCTGTCATTTGTTATACCCAATGAAATAATCTGAAGGATTACAGGTGCAGCTCTCAGAAGTCCAAAATTTAAAACTACTCACTGATTTTCCAAGCAAGGCCACACATAAATAACAAATGTTTTCTGATTTGGTTTGTACCTTTAACGAGTTCACTAAACACAACAGTAAACACCCTTCTAAACAGGAAGTTCTAAATCTTGTGATTCAGATGGTTCTGCAACTCCAAATGTTTCCTAAGTTCCTCTTCCTTCAAGCAGAATTATGTCCAGCGAGGTAGAAGAAATGGCATCTTTCAACAGATTAAAAAACGTGCTCATGCTGGCATTACAATGGATTCTGCACAGAGCTGGTAAGACTTTTTTTTTTAACTTCTTATATTTTCCCATGTAACAACAGTTAGTCAAGATTGAAAAATGTTATGATTTGCAAATAGATATGAAATAAGAGCAGTGAAAAGTTTTACTGAGAATCAAGCTAGTTTCTGCTATCTTCATACAACTGCCAAATTAAACAACTGTTAGCTTTTACTTCCAAAAGCCTGAAATGCACCTGTAACCTAAGATTTCTGGGGCAAATCCTCCTGTGCTTCCCTCCAAAGAACTTCACAGCAGCAGTATGTCAGCATTACAGTGCAGCTGTGCTTGTTCCAGAGGAGCTCAGCAGACAGCATCTACATGAACTGCAGCCATGGAGCTCTGCCCGGCAAAGCCACTGAGACCACCAGAATAACATGGAAAAAGAGCAGGGGATCAACTACAGAAGCATAAGCTACTGCCTTTCACCACACAGGGTGCAAAAGTACACCAACAAATCATACTACAACAATCTTCAGATTGCCATAGCTGCTATGGAACAGTTCTGATGGTGATCTGCCACAGAAGTAGTTTCATTTTATTCCTGCAGAAGTCACAGACACTGAATCTGCTTGGATCTGGTCCATAAAACACGCAGAAAAATTATGAAGGGACAATGCTGACTGTCCACCATGAACAGGCTTATAAATTGTGTATCAGCAGTAGATTAAGAGACTTCAGTTTATTTTTATTCTTAACTTGTTATTTTCTAGGAAGTAGAAAAGGATGGTGTTAAGCAACTACTTTCATTTTCACTGCAGTAATCTCAATTCCATTGTTCGAGTAAAATTAAATAGACTAAAACAATATTTAAATTATGGGTTTCAAGGACTTAGAAAAAATCTCCCAGACCAGTCATATTAAACTTCACATTTCAGTTCCTTTATTAGAATTCTGTTCTCTGATTAACCTTCCTGTTTTCTCTGCACACATTCTTAAACATCAGAACTAACAAGCAATATTATTATCCTTATAAACCCAGAGTCAATACGTGTGACAAAGTGAAAGAATGTCTAGGAACTATTATAAATTCTAATCAATGTTATGAAGATGCTAAATTATAAATGACTGCATCTATGACATTTCCACTGCCTGCCACTGGCTCTCTCACTTGACTTGGAATAGGAACAGTAGAGAGAGAAAACCTTGCAGAACTACTGCACTGAGCATCTACAGCTATGTCACACTATCCCCCCACCACCCATCAACCCCCAAAACACTCAGGACTAAACCTGAGGTGGGGAACTACACCAGGAATTCTTTTGGTCCTCTCCAGGGCCAAAGGAGACATTCATGGTATTTCAGAAAGATTATTCTTCTCTACACTTTGTCAGAAAAACAGAAATCTAAGCGCATTACCCCCAAGGTAAAGCTGTTAAAATGAACATATGGTCAAGCTGCAGGGATTACCTAAAAGAAAAGTTTGCTGGAAACAACCTGAAAACTTTCAAGTTCGAAACACAGTTGGTTTTCCTCCTTTTCTCAAATGAGCCATAAGTCTCTTATCTTCTTTTTAGATTGTGCCTTGCTTTTTAACTGTCCCTCACATCACCATTGTTTATTCTCAACAGGTGCTACAGATACCTGCCAAGTCACTGTAACACAACCCAAATTTCAGGAAGCTGACTACTCCATGCACACTGTGTTCCTAACATGTACTTTCTCAGCTTTTGGATGTTCTTCGTTTCCACCTCAAGTTCTGTGGTTTCGCTTTTTAACTAAAAAGCATGAGGATTTGTGTACTCCAGGATGCATAGATCAGCAGAAGTACAAAGTGCATTTATCTGAAAATAACATTTTACTTCAAATCAGTAACCTGACTGTAGATGACAATGCTGTCTATATCTGTGGAGTAGCATTTTCAGATTCAAGTTCACCCCATTCTAAACAAACAGGAGATGGAACAGTACTAACGAAAGCAGGTCAGTTGATCATTCCTTCTTAATGAAGCATTTTAAAAGAAATACATTAGCTTTCCCAAATATTCTCTTCATTTACACTTTCAAGAATGGCATTTAAGATGGAAATACCAACAAAACTGCTAGTAGCATAACTGTATTAAAATACTAACAGTAAAACCATGGAGGGATTCTAAGAATAAGTATTTTAACCTTGTATGCTAATTAGACTGTTGTCATACGATGCAAATGACTCCTGGATTCTATAAAAGAAAGAAGTTTTGCACTTGTGTTACCTAACAATACTCTACATCCTCCTAGATAAAAATTTTAATGGCTATCAGAAAGGAACTACAACAGAAAAATGAGAAGTAGAGAAACTGACACTTAGTGGAAATACATGCAACAGAGTACAGGGCCTCAGAACTGGGAATTCCCTGTGCCAGCTTAAGAAAAAAGGCTTAGTTCTGAGCTTTTGCATCATCTGCCTTCTAGTTAATAAAGCGATGAGACTTCATTATCTACATTTCAGTTTTCCATGCCTAAAACATGGAAAAAAAAACAAACCCCAAACCAACCCAAAACCAAACCCATCAAAAACCCTCAAACCAAACAACAAAACAAACAACATAGCTGGATTATTTTCCCTATATTCCTTCTTTCCTCTAATTGCATTTCTGAACAAATGCCTGTAAATTTTATTCAGATATCCAGAAAACTGGATTCTATTCTCTGTCTACCCCAAAGGAAGGGCTCATAATAAAAGTAGCAAGTCTCTACTGTCCTCGCGAACATTCAGGGAAACAAAACAAAAGTGATCACACTAAGTATTTTAGACTGAAAATGAACTTGACAAATATTGAGTGGTGTAAGAGGCTTTTAATTCCTTAGAGGAAGGGTGATGAAATGCAGAAACTGAAGAAAATTATGTGTAACAGAAGAACTGTCCTTTATTCTAACACTTTTAATAAAGGAGCAGAGAAGCAGCACAGCAACAGAAGACTCGGCTTCATCTTCATGATCACCACCTCATCCTTACTGTTTCTATACAGTGCTACCGTATTTACATTTTTAGTCTACAAGGTAGGAAAGTGATTTTTCTAATTTTGTTCATTTTGTAAAACAAAGCAGTTTCATCATCTCCATTAGGAGAATAAAAAGACATTCCTAGATTCCATAACTTTCATGATTAAGTTTCAAAGAGGCAGTTGGTTGAAGTCCATATGCTTCACAGATGTGCAAACTCTGCGTGGCACATACCTGTACTCTCACTAGTAACCACAGTTTTCTTTTTCAGTAAAGTGTCTAAAAGAAAAGGTATCCTGAAGTTAAAATTATCCTGAGAGTATTAATCAGGAAGTTGCAGATTATCTGTTGAGGCTCACTCAAAAAGCAAAACTAGAAACTACCACTGTTAACTCATCAACTCTCTGGATTAGTTTCCACTAAAATGATTTAATGTCAAAGTATTCGTGACCACAGACTGACTTGTCTAATGAAATTCTATTCACACATCATATTCATACATGGATGAGAGACCTTGGTAAAATTTAAACACATCAGAGACTTAGAAAAAGTTTTATGCTTATAGGAAACAAATGCATCAGAATGGTTAGAAGTTATACAGTTATTGTTGTGGGGGTTGTTTGGGTTTTTTTTTTTAAGCTAGAGGAAAATTAGTGTTTAGTTAAAACAAACACCCAAAACTACAACTGGAATCTTTACGTAATAATGAGACTTTGACATGAGAATAAGGACTTCACAGTCCTAAGTGGTATGATATGCTAAAATGGTTCTTTGCTGCAGTGATCACTGTCTAAAAATAAAGACAGGACAGACTTTTTTAGTTTTGTGGTTTTTTAAATTAGATGAAATAGTATAGTGGGAAACATTAACTAACCTATTTTCCCCTGAAAAAGGCTTATCTGTGATGCTACTGGTTTACTTTTGAGAACTAGGCAGTGTTTCAGGCACTGTACTCAAAGCAAAATTACTTGCAGCGTCTACTACCAGAAGCTGAAAAAGGCCTTACATGGCTGAAAAGGTCTCTGATTTTCCAATGGTACAAACTGACCTAAGGACTTGTCTCTACAAACTGTCTGACACTGTAAACCAGCAACACCTTTAACTATTCTGCTACCTTAGCAGCTGGCATCTCTCATTGTTCTTTATTCTCTCTCTCTAGTTAAAACCAAAGCTGCTAAAGAAAAGCAGGAACGAAGACGAAAGAACAGAGAACTGTGTATGTTATCAATTCATTTGCTTTGTCTGTGATTCAGAGCTTCCCCCCCCCCTTTTTTAAGTATATTGGGCATCCATTTTGTGATTAATTGATTATTTGGTTAAATAAACATTCAGAGCTGTTAAGGCTTTACTTCAGATTTGTACAAAACTAGTAAATGAATTTACATTTCACTAATTTTAACTCATTTATGTTTAACAGTTGGATACAGGATGTCAGTTTATGTAAAGGCCACCTCTAGTACACAGCTTCCTTTAGGTTTTAAGTAAATTTTGTTCAACCTTCTGAAAGTAACATGTTTTGCTATTAATTATTTGTTTAAATGCCGCATTCAGGTAAGTCCTAATGGATTTAAAACAAATCTATTTAGAACCTCCATCACCATGTATCCTTGAATAAAAAGTAGAAGCCATACATTTAAATAGCAATTACAGAAGTCATGTATGTTAAGAGATGCAATATTAATGTAATAACCCTTCTACCCGTCAAACTGTAAGTTCTTGAAGTGTTATTTAGTAAGATGCCCAAAGACACATAGAGGGGAAAAATCAGAATTATAAAAGGTAGAAAAAGATGCTTCCTCAACCATACATAGCACTGACCTCAAGTGTTTGAATAACTTGCAGAAAATCACCAGTGGACGAAAAATTTTTCAAGCAATTGCCCAGGAACTTCAAAATCAGAGATACATCCAGCATTGCCAACAGCCTGTGAGTATCTATATACCAATACTGACATTTATGCAGAAAAAGAGGAACCGGTACTTTTTAAGAGTGTATTATTTCCATATCCTCTGGAAATGGACTTTTTAAAGTTGATAAAGGTCTAAAAAAAAAAAAAAAAAAAAGGATTCTGCACTACAAAGACATTATAAAGCATTCTAAATGATCATACATATACATTTATATATATATGATAGCATATACTTTATAGAATGTATGTGTGTACATTTAAAAAAATGAAGCTTCCATAAATCTGCATTTGCCAAGAAGAGGTCTCTACAAGTGCCTCTGGACTTTTGGTGAAAAGCATAGAGCTATTAAGAGCCCATTTTTGAAAAATGGTAGCTAGACAGGAATATTACAGAGCTGTTATAAAAGCTCTACAACATTCTTCCAGATACTTCTCCTTCCTTCAACATCCACAGCCTAAACTAAATATTCAACATCAGTGGGTAAAGCCACACAACTTCTTTCAGCATTCCAAATTCATGCCAATATGTCTTATATAATGACCATAATTGTGCACATGCCATGTTAAGTTACAAAAAAACAAACCCCAACTTTAGAAGTCATGTGTATTTGCAAACAAACGCCTTCAAAATCCTGCCTTGAAAATGTTGCTTCTCTTGAGAAATTGTATACATTCTTTCCTATTCTGACCAAAGGCTCCACTACTTCAAGAAGAAGCCAAAAGAAACATATAACAAATGCATGCTTCTCTATGCGTTTTTACTTCATTATTTCCACCTGGCCCCAATTGTTTCCCTCTGTGATTACCCCTTTAAAGACTTCAAGTCCCTGCTGACATGACCTTGCCCTCGGTTTGAGCATCAGATATAAACATAGTGAAAATAAGGGATATATTTTACTGCCTCTGTGCTCTCTGGAGATTAGGAAAAGCCAAGAGGAAGAGAAACATGCTTTGAATCCCACAGATGCCAAATGACCAAAACCAATTGGACAGAGGGGAGAAAGGAGTTTACTGAAACAATAAAGTAATGGAGTTTCCCTGAAAAAGGAAATTTTGCATTATTTAAAAAGTAAAAAGTTCACAGCAATAATAAAATACTTCTCCATTTTTCCCTTAGGAAGATTTGGAAGATGACACTGTTTATCAGAACAGATGAGCCTGTGCTGCTGTTCAGATTTCTTCAGTATTTCTCACACAGATGAAGAAGGGACAGATGAAGAAGTTAAGCTTCTTCACATACTTCCTTTGCTTTAAAAAGAGAGGAGACAGGAGACCTTGCAAGGCAGTGTTCTTGATGAGTATTTTCTAAACAGGTCACCAAACCCGAGTGCATTGTGCATTTATGTTATATTTTACTTCCATTTTCCATTCTTTAAGAATAAGAACTATGGGAAAAGACTTCATAAGATAACTGCTGACCTTCCTGAGTTTCCTTTTTCAGTTTAGATTTAATTCTGTGCATTTTTTTCTTTTTATGTAAGTTTACATGTATTCCTTTTATGTGAATTGAGCATTTATGAAAGATGTATAATTGACGGCAACAGAAAATAAACTTGTTTCACATATGAAATTTTGATTTTAGCCATGTTAATGTGACAGTTATCGACATAACAGATATACAGAACTACAAAACAAGTTACTGAGTCTTAACAAAAGCTTAAACAGAGCAAAACCTCTGTATTCTGTAGGTAGGCAAGCAGAAATAACAGACAATATAAATGCATGTAATATCATAGTACAGCTCAACTGGAATAGGAGCTTCTTCCCAGGCTATTTAGGAAAGGAAAGTAGCAGTCATAGTGAGAAGGTTGCTCCTGCAGTATTAAAAATCACTTGCTAGACAGACAATCCTCATCTTCCACTCCTACCAAGCAAAGTCAGGATTACCTGGAGCACAAAGTTTTGCCTTTACATGCCTGTTCAACATGGAGGCAAGCATGAACACAGAAGTAGACTAGCTACCCAAGGCAGTACATTGAGTGTATTTTTTTAAAAGTACCTATTCTTTTAGAAGTTACTATGTAGCCAATCCACAAATTCAGCACTTTAACAAGCAATCTTTTAGTATCAGGCATTCTCCCTACATAAAAACAGCTGCATCTTTTATCACCATTTAAATAAAGCAAAGCTTTGTTTAACAGATGAAATGGTATTTCTCACTTCAGTGAGATGAGCACTAACAACGGAGACAAAACAAGGGTCCACCTAGCACAGTACTGTTAATAGCTCAATTTAGTAGCAAGGAAGATGGAAAATCCACCTTTGTCTTCTTATCCCTGTCAGCAATCACAAGGAATTAATGTGTTCAACAGGAAAACTGCACAATCACAGGTAGCTAGTGTTTACTCCTTCTGAAGTATGGAGCCTCTGACATTTTTATTTTAGAGAAATTTAAACCAGTCTAGTCACATACTGTCTAATAATGGCTTTATAGAAATAAGGTGTCTGTATTAGGAAATACAATGCATTTTTTATGACCCTATGGGACACCTATTAAAAATACAAAGTTCTATTTAATAGATGTTCTTATGTGACTAGCCTAACACCTTATGATTCATCTGGCTTACTTACCAAATCTAGACATGTGCAAAATTGCATTATTTTTTGTTATGTTGAAAATAAAACTCTGTAAAACCCCAGAAAGAATTTATGATTAAGCTACTTCGTCTGGACTCTAGGTGTCACTGTAACTCCAGAAACGGTAAGCACAGAAATGTATTTCAATCTCCTCCTCCACCTTGCTTTGTTCTCTTAAACCAAGTCTTATGTTATTCACATAAACAGTTTCCAAAATCACCCTCCCATTACGTTACATGCAATAACCCAAATATCTTGTTTTGATCAAAATTGTGTCTCCATTTTTAGGAGCTGTTCTATACACTGAGCAAACATCTTACTTGCCTCATCTCTTCTCTATTTGTTTCCCACCTAAAATTCAGAAGTTTCTCTAGGCGAGTCCAAACTGGTTTTAATTAGCTTCTACAAGAACCTGAGCCATTAAATGTTCTCCTCTTTGAATGTTGCAAGTATATATTTTTGTCAAATATAAACCATATGTACATATCTAATACTTTTTAAAATGCATCATCTTTTAGAACAGCTAAATGAAAATAATGAAATTCTAAAATCAATTATTTATCATGAAGACGAGCAGTTCATTATTTCTTTAGGCTACAGTTAAATAGATAAGTAGGAAAGCTTCAGTGAAATGACAGTAACTTTTGTGTGTGTTAATTTGCATTGTCTAAAGTTTATATGGGGTCCATATCCGTAATAGTGCAAAACAATAACTGAGTATGTTAAGTTTCAGAACTTATTACGGAAACAAAGCTGCATTGAGGAAAGTGACTAATCTCCTGTAAGCCCCCACCACTTTTTTATGACTTAGGTTTACAAGACTTCTTACAACAGATTTCAACTTTCAACAAGTAAGAATGACTGAGTTCAAGAATCACAGAGGAGATTTCTAGTCCCTTGGGATTTATAAATTTAATTATTGTTCTCCTCCAAGTACCTTGTGGGAGATTAATGATGAGCAATATAAGTGGACTTCAGAGTAGTTTCTTCCTTAATTCACCTACCACATGTTGAACCAGAATTGCATGTGGTCTGTCACATGGTTACCCAACAACAGGCAGAAAAGTAGATGTCAAGTCCAATAGTGATTGCAAAACACAATGGCACATAGTTTTGAAGGTACACAAACAAAAAAGCCACTCAAATAGTTTCCCAATTCCTGCTTCCAGTATGCTAATGAAAACTAGAAAGACACTGCTGTTATTATTTGGAACTTTAAGGAATTTTTAGAAGAGGAAGCTGTATTGTTCCACATTATAGGAACAATAAGTTGTAATCAAATACACTTGAAATACCGTACAGACACATAAGTCAACCTCCCCCATCTCATTTAAGACATGCTACTTTTCAGAACAGTTACAAAATTATTTGCTCAAACACTGCATTTTAAGCAATTCTTCACCTGAGGGAATTTTTTTACACTTAAAATTAATTTTTATTACATTTCATTACACTGATTGCCAGAATGTTCAGGCTGTCAGTTGTGTATTTGCTGGAGCTACATGCCTATCCGCAGACAAGTCTTAATACTCAAGGACAGCCAGTATCCCAATGATGACTGATGAACACCAGCCTCCTCGAATTCAAACCAGCTTTAGGGTGCCTCAACATGAATCCACACTCATAGGCATGTAAAAAAAGAATTTCCACTCTCTTTTGAAGTTTAATCATAGGGACAGATTAACCCAAAAATCTCTCATGTATTTCTTCAAAATGCAACTAGGGGAAATAATGGGGGATTAGCACTGAATTTTAAATTTCAGTTACTGATACAAACATAAACAGTGCTTCATACTTTGTATCAGTAGGGGTCTGTATTCTACTTTGAGAGCTCATACTGGAAAGTGAACATTATCTCCCTGTGAATTTTTAGGTGCAGTTCATCTGAAACAGTTTGACCTGAACTGCTCTATCCAACATTACAGGCAGTTCTGATGGCTTTGCTCAGGTGGTCACTACAGACAACTGGGGTGACCTATATGGCAGCAGCAGAAGGCTCTAATCAGAGATCTGTTTTCCCATGTTGCTCCAACACACCTCAAAGGTGGCAACCCACAGAACAGGATATGTGACTTCAATATTTGAGCTTTTTGTTGGTGTCAACAACGTACGTTTGGGAATTAATAAAACAGCTTACATCATATGTCCTATTTACCTATGATTTACTTCTGAATGTGCCCTGTACAAGTTATTTGTAAAAAACAAATACAAACATGCCAATTAAGCATTTAATTTGGGATACAGTAACCTACAAATGTTTTCTTTACCTGCCTAAATAGCTATTAATCTGTGCACTTACCATTTTCCACATATGGGTGAAATGGCAGAACTAATGCTAGAATGACTCTGCCTCTAGTTGGCTCCAGTACACTTCTAATATCTTTTAATACAGTCAGTGGTTGATCACAGCGATCCAGCAAATTCAAACAGCTGATGACATCATACTGAAATCCTGTGTTTTGCCATTCATTTATACCAAGCACTCTATAAGGAGAAAGATACAGTCTGTTAAACAAACACAAGTTGAGTTCAAAGAGAGCCACTGAACACAAAAATTCCCTATGAATGTGTTTACAGTGCAGGTAAGGTCAGCCACCTAGGCAATGTGAAGAGACAGATACGATGCTTCTGGTCTCTCAGAAAAGAAAACTAAATCAACAAAAGTGGGCATGGTTACATATATAGCCGTAAGAACCTGTGTATCGCCTTACAACCACCAGGCAATAAAGGAAACAAAACCCAAAACCCCAGGTATTAGAAGGAAGAAAAAAAAAAAAGTGCTGTCCTAGAATAAAACTGAAAATAACTTCTCAAGAAACAACAATGCTGAAATATGATGAATGGCTTGCTACAGTCTATCCACTCTGCTTTGCCAGCGTGAAAACCCAGACTGGAAATTAGCCATTATGTTTCCTCTCAAAAAACAGGTTAAAGAAAAGAAATCCAGTTCCTTCATTCTTTGGGTTGAAGTCTAGGGATAAAGTGTCTGAAATACTAGTCATTACTCAACAAGACTGAATCTGCTGTCTGCAAAAACCTGCAGGAGCTGTGATGAATGCATGAACAAAGTTCTGGAAGTGCCCACGGTTTAGTTACTAAATGTTATTCCATCTAACAGCAGGAGCTAAGCAGAGCAAGAATAAAAGGATCTTTACATAGATGTCTACATTTTAGGACTAAATAGACAGAGATTACTGAGGTATCCCTATTATCAAAATTAGTTTGCTTTCTCTGCAGTACCTGTCTTCCTTTTCCAATTCTGGACTGTTCACTTAGGCTGGTTTGCCTGATTTTCATCTTCCTGACTCCCTTGATTAAAGCAATTTATGCAAGCTATGAAGAAAGAGACTTCAAAATGGTTGCTGCCTATTTTCTCTTAGAATCATAGTCTAAAGTAATTGCAGGGAACTTCTGTGTAACAAAAGCCCTGATAAGAAGGAACATCAGATGTGTTTGTTTTCCTGCTTTTGGACAGGTTAAACTTTTCCATAAAGATTAAGCAACACAGGAATTGTCTGAAAATAGTGTGAATATTCATTAAATACTACAAATAGATTACTCTGATGTAATGTCCAATAAAAAGGATGTAGGAAGTATTCATTACAATACCTGTATTTCTTCTTCTGAAGCTGCCATATCATTGTTTCAGACAATTCAGTGGCATAGATTTCTTCAAAATGAGGACTCATGACTTTAGTGACTTCTCCATCCCCAGCCCCTAAATCAAGAAGCCTGTGGGATTTCCATTCTGGATTTATTTTAAGCAGTCTTTGAAATTGTTCTGGAGAAAACACAAACATTGAGCCCCTTCCCAGCAGCCTGAAATGTAAAAACAAGAAATGACCCATTTTGTAGGAACTTTTAACAGGAAGAACAATGAAGTAATTTAGAATGTGCTTTGGCAGCAACCAGTTACATACATTGTAGTAGGCAAGGTCACTGCTCAGATAAATTATAAATCCAGTTCAACTTGCCTTGCACTTGTCAGAGATC